TTCTTTTTCGTTGCTTAAAAAAAGGATTTTTAAAATAACGTTTTAAAAAACATACAAAATGGAAGCATCGATCTACATTTCCCGATATAAATTTCCAGAGGTGCGAGAGAGGGAAGCACTTTCGACGTCAAAAGAGTTCTAGAAACTGTTATAAATACGAAAAGGGGGTCGTGGCCACAGAATCTTTCTGGGAATTCTTTAAAACTTTCGGAGCGTTCCGAAGAAAACTTCCATTAGACGGCACCAAAATCCACTCACCAAACTTGATTTTTTTTCCAATTTCCCGGAAGAAAATGAAAAAGGACATATCTCATGCATACCGACAAATCACTTTTCTAGTGAAACACTAAAGTGAACAATTGTAAACATTACAGAAACTGTTATTTCTTTTTTTTTTGTTTTTAGAAACATACACGTATAGAGAAATACAAAGACATTTTTACAACACTGTACAGTTTCACTGGCTGATGAAGCTTTCGACTAAATGTTTGCTACGGATGTAATACGTGATTAGCGTTAAAAAGGCACAGGTTGGTTAAGAAAGAAAGCATTCTGCAATTAATCCCTTTATTTCACGTTCTCCGATCTTCCTTAGTTCCTTGTCATTCACATTTTGCTTTTCCAATATTCCTTGCCTTCTAAAAGAGCCGTTTCCAAAATGCTCCAGTCATTATTTATAATTCTGGCCAAAATCTGTCATTTATATCAAATTTAGAGGCTACGCTACACCGGGCATCAAGCTTTAAAAACCCAAAATTGCTTACATACAAGTAGACCTCAACTTAACAACGATTTGTTTAGTGACCGTTCAAAGTTAAAATGGGGTTGAAAAAAGTTACCGTTGATCACCCTTATGACCGTTGCAGAATTTCCATAGTCATGTGATCAAAATTCAGCTGTATGGCAACTGACTCATATTTATGACGGTTGAGGGGTCACGCTGCACGTGATCCCACTTTCTCGACCTTCAGACAAGCCAAGTGAATGGTTAAACCAGATTCACCGAATGGCCGTGTTACTCGCTTATCAACTGCCGTGATTCACTTAACAACCGGGGGCAAGAAAGGTCGTAAAACGGGGCGAAATGCACATAATAACTATCCAGCTTAGCAACAAAAATGTTGGGCTCAATTGAGGTCATAAGTCGAGGACTACCTGTACTCCAGCGAATCAGGGAGGTGTCTATTTAAATCCACTTCTGAATGTTTATCTCGTTTCTCTGGACTTAAAAAGAAAAATTGCTCCTTTTTGCCTAGGAACTGTCGCTGAATAACTCCATCAAGCTCACCTTTGTTCCTCCCTACAAGTTGTGTATATTTGTATAATTTAGCACACTCTGTGAAGCTAGCCTATTTAAGGGTGAATTTTGCAGTATGCAAAATCGGTGCATTTTGCAGTGATAAAGACCAAATCTTGGCTACCCCGCCCTACACACACAAACACACAAAATGCAATCCTATTTTTTACCTGAATTACAAGATGCAGCAAAGGCTGAACAGACATGCTGTGTTGTGACACCAATAATTATGCTGGCGTTGTGACCGATCGCATCAGTACAATTCTCTAACAAAGCGCATTGCCCCGGTCTCTCATTTTAGATTGACGTGCTTGTGATCTCCAAAGGGCTTCTGGCAATTTCTGCATGTATTTTTAACGGCTTGAGTCCTGAAAATTGCATATCCCAAGATAAATCGTCTTAACAACAGACTGGCGTACTTTTCCAATATGCGGGAAGGCTAAGAGCGAGTCCAGATTTTCTTTCGTATAAATAAATAAAAGTGAATAATTATTGCTTAAAGAAAGCCGAAAAAGATGGCATTGTTTTGTTTTTACAGGCTCTGATTCCAATTATTTAGCAGATAAATGAATTGAAGTGAAATATTTTTAACTTGATATCCTCTTCAAATGCCTTGGATTAAATGGCATTTTTTCCCCACTATGACCTAGTGTTACAATTGTTATGGCCACTCAATGGTGCTGCAAACACAGAATTTTTTTTTTATTATTCCAGGAGCATTCTTCAGTCTGAGTCCCTCCAGATGTTTGGACTACGATTCCCAGAATTCTCAGCTAGCTGTCCTACTAACATGCCGATTAGAGAATTCTGGGAATTGTAGTTCCAATTCATCCAGGTGGCCTTAGGTTGGGGAAAACCTGTTATAAACAATTAAATGGAATGGCCATGTACATCACCTACACTCATGTGACCACAATTTATGATATTTTTGCAGAAAATTAATGTTTACTTCTGGTTTTATTGAGACTTCTAGAAAGAGCAACAAAGATGATTAGGGGAAGAGGCTAAAACATATGAAGAATGGTTGCAGGAATTGGATATGTCTAGTTTAATGAAAGCATACTAAAAAGCAGAGACATCACCCTGCCAACAAAAGTGCGTATAGTCAAGGCGATGGTTTTCCCCAGTTGCAATGGATGGCTGTGAAAGTTGGACCATAAGGAAGGCTGAGGCCGAAGAATGGAGGCCTTTGAACTCTGGTGCTGGAGAAGACTCCCGTGAGTCCCTTGGACTGCAAGGCGATCCAACCGGTCAGTCCTAGAGGAGATCAACCCTGACTGCTCTTTAGAAGGCCAGATCCTGAAGAGGAAACTCAAATACTTTGGCCACCTAATGAGAAGGAAGGACTCCCTGGAGAAGAGCCTAATGCTGGGAATGATGGAGGGCAAAAGGAGAAGAAGGGGATGGCAGAGAATGAGGTGGCTGGATGGAATCGCTGAAGCAGTTGTTGTGATCTTAAATGGATTCCAGAGGATGGTAGAGGACAGGAAGGCCTGGAGGAACGTTGTCCATGGGATGGACACAACTTTGCAACTAACAACAAGATTAATGAAAAGAACTAGAGGAGACATGATAGCATTTCCCCATATTTGAGGGGCTGCCCCAAAGAAGAGGGGGGTCAACCTTTTCTCCAAAGCACCTGAAGGCTGGACAAGAAGCAAAGGATGGAAATGAATCAAGGAGAGAAGCAACTTGGAACGAAGGAGGAATTTCAGGATGGTGAGAACAATTAACCCGTGGAACAGCTTGCCACCAGAAGTTGTGGGTGCTCCATCGCTCGAGGTTTTTAAAAAGAGATTGGACAGCTATTTGTCTGACATGGTATCGGATCTCCTGCTTAAGCTGAGGGTTGGACTAGAAGACCTCCAAGATCCCTTCCAACTCAAGCAAGGTTGCATAGATAGACTGGACAGTGTCAGCAATGGTAAAGGGCGTCCTGCTTGAGCAGGGGGTTGGACTAGATGACCTACGAGGTCCCTTCCAACTCTGTTATTCTGTAGGTAGGCTGCTACATGAATGTTACTCCAGCTAATTATTATTTCCAGCTAAAAGATCTGCATTGGTTGCCCCTCTGATGCTAAATCCAATTCAAAGTCTTGCTATTTGCGTTTAAAACTTGTAACAATTCAAGACCAGAGTATTTCAAAATGGCCATCTTCAGCTTCCCCAGGGAAGCTAGGCTTACCTGGAGTACCCCAATTTGTGAAATAATCTCTTTTGCTGTGTCCAGTTCCTGGCACAACTCTTAAACCACTTTTCATTTTAATCCTTCCCTAGTCTTGAACTGTGCATCGTATTTGCCTTGGGGCGTATTTTTTTTTTATTCTGTGGTTCACTACTCTAAATTCCTTTGAGTTTTTTAAAGAGGGCATATAAATACCGTCAAAAGTGTGAAATCCAGACCCACATTCAGTATCCCAGGCTGAGGAAAGATTCTTTTAAAGTAGTGTTTTCCCCCCCCCCCAAAATCTTGGCAACTTGCAAATCAGGGGACTTCAATCAACTCCCAGAAATCCCCAGCCAGTTTGCTTGAGGATGGGTGAATTTCAATTCCCAGAATTCCCCAGATAGCCTGCTTTAAGATGAGTGGACTTCTGGGAATAGTCCACCCAGCTTAACAATTTCCAAGTTTGAAAAACACTAAATGAAATCCTACTGCGAATCTTGCTCGCTTCTCTTAAAACCTCTAAATAAGAGCCACATGTTTCTCAATAGACATATCCGTAAAAACTTTAACATTAAAATTTAACAAATTACTTTGGACTATTGGAAAAGAATGCCCTTTTCAGTGCTGGCACAACTGATTTAAGAAAGAAAAAAGTGGGGTGCATGTGGGAGAGAGAGAGAGAGAGGGAGGGAGGGAGGAGGGAGGGAGAGAGAGAGAGAGAGAGAGAAAGAAAGAAAGAAAGAAGAAAGAAAGAAAGAAAGAAAGAAAGAAAGAAAGAAAGAAAGAAAGAAAGAAAGAAAGAAAGAAAGAAAGCTAAACATTGGTTAAAAGTCTATAGAGTTTCTCAGTCATCCAGGTCATGATAGTCCCAAAGGTGCTTTTTCAAGAAGCAATTGGACTTTCTTGTTTTTCTTTGAAGACTTTTCGCTTCTCATCCAAGAAGCTTCTTCAGCTCTGACTGGATGATGGTGGAGAATGGAAGGATTTCCTTCAGCCAATCCCCACCATCCAGGTCAGAGCTGAAGAAGTTGTTGGATGAGAAGCGAAACGTCTTCAAAGAAAAACAAGAAAGTCCAGTTGCCTCTTGAAAAAAGCACCTTTGGGAAGACAGAGAAAGAGAAAGGGAAAGAAAGAGAGAAAGAGAAAGAAAGAGAGAAAAGGAGAAAGAGAAAGTAAGAGAAAGAAAGAAAGGAAGTAAGAGAGAGACAGAGAGAAAGACAAAGAGAGAAAGAGAAAGAAAGAGAAAAGGAGAAAGAAAAAGTAAGAGAGAAAGAAAGAGAGGAAGTAAGAGAGAGAGAAAAAGAGAGAAAGAGAAAGAAAGAGAGAGAAAAGGAGAAAGAAAAAGTAAGGGAGAGAAAGAAGAGAGGAAGTAAGAGAGAGAAAAAGAGAGGAAAGAGAAAAAAAAAGAGAGAAAAGGAGAAAGAAAAAGTAAGGGAGAAAGAGTCGAAGTAAGAGAGACAGAGAGAAAGGGAAAAAAAAAGAAAAAAAAGAAAAGAAAAAGAAAAGGAAAGAGAAAGAGAAAGAAAGAGATAGAAAGAGAGATAGATAATCCTTTATTTGCCACTGAGTAGGCCGTTAAATCCATACGTATCCCACATTGGATATTGGATTCACACAACCGACAACGGGAAAACTGTGCAGTGTCAGGTGTAGTTTTACAGTCTGCAGGGATCCAGACTTTGTCTTATCCTGTTGTCTGGACGAGGCCATCATAGCAATTCCCAAAAAATTATAGTTCCTTGGCTTAATCCTTGCAAATAAGTTGAGCGAGCAAGGATGCTGTTCTTTCTCCGGGCAACAGTAATTTGCAAAAATTAAAAAAAAAAAATGTGGCTCTCGGTTTTAAAACAAGCTGGTTCAATTAAAAAACAAAAACAAAACCCCCCAAAATGTTCAGATATTCAACCGTAAGATATATAAAAAAAAAACACAGAGCGGAAGCCTTTTAAAAAAAAAAACAACAACGGAAAAAAAGATGAATTGCCAAAGAAACAGGGAGGTAGATATTTGAAGATAAAACCAGATTTTGTTCTTTCGGAAGCATTCGGCATTCAACGCGAAAAAAAAGTTTTGAGGCCACCGAATCCAAAACTTGGCGATCTTTATTGCAGAATCAAAGAGCTGATCGCCGATGTATTTTGGGTTTACTTGGAGCGACTTAAAAATTCTTGTGAGCCTGGCTAGGTGGCTCAGTGGCTAAGACGCTGAGCTTGTCGATCAGAAAGGTCGCAGTTCGAATCCCTAGTATAGATCTCCTGCATGAGCGGGGGGGTTGGACTAGATGACCTCCAAGGTCCCTTCCGACTCTGTTACTATGACTCCTTTTTCTTGTTGTTTTTTTTGCCTCGAAGCTCCAAGGAAGCACCCGGAAATTTCCAACCGGAACATCGGATTGCAAAATATTACAAAATGGTAGGAATCGGAGTGGGATAAGGATGGTCTTTCGGTGCATATTTTGCAAAAAAGGGCAAAAAGACAGACAGCATCACCCCGACGATCGCCAGCATGTAACCCCAGCCCAGCTGGCAACTCCCTGCGTAATAAATGCTCGAATCCTCGCAATGTGTCCTGACGGCCAAAGAGCCGAATCCGAACGGATACACCAGCAGGCCGAATCCCATGATGAACACTAGGAAGAGAAGGAGAAAGAAAGAGGAGAAGGAATGAACAGGTCAAAGCATAAAATATATATTTGTAACAGATTAACACATTAACAGAGTTAGAAGGGATCTTGTAAGGTCATCTAGTCCAACCCGCCCCACCGCCCAAACAGGAGACTGTACGCCAGTGATGGTGAACCTATTTTTCCTCGGGTGCCAAAAGTTTATTATTATTATTAGTTCGATTTATATGCCGCCCTTCTCCGGAGACTCAGGGCGGCTTACAATGCATTAAGCAATAGCCTTCATACTTTTGCATATACCTGCTTAGTAGGGCTTTTGGCCCCCCCCTAAGTGGTGTTCTTTTTTACACAAAGTCAGCTTATTGCCCCCACAATCTTGGTCCTCATTTTACCTCCCTCGGAAGGATGGAAGGCTGAGTCCACCTTGAGCCTGGTGAGATTCGAACTTGCAGTAATTGCAGGCAGCTGGTGCTACTTAACAGCACTTTAGTCTGCTGCGCCACCAAGGCTCTAAAGTGCGTGTGTGCGGGCACGAAAGCAGCGCACCCGTGCCGACACCCATAATGCAATGCCCCCCAGCAGGCTCCACCCCCCCACGCATGCGCACACGACTTGCCCCACACGCTCCCCGCACGTTGTCAGGTGACAATTAATCCCATTCTGCTTTTGGGTAATTGCACCTTGATTTAGAGAAGTGGATCGAGACTTTTCCCTTGAAGCATACTTAAGCAAATAAACCCGAAGATATGTTTTCTAAGAAAAACTCATTTATTTGTTATAAAGAAAATAAAACATCTCACTAGTCCAATTAGTTACATCTTGGCGAGAACAAAGAAAAGATAGAAGAAAGTGAAGGAATGTAGACATGCGCAGTTAGCTTACTGATAAGAAACTTGGCAAGCTACGGTAAGTCTGAAAGTCCAAAAATATGAGCTCATCTGGTAAATACAAAAACGCAGTGACCAGACCCGACATTGCACATAGTGTTAATCTATTATCTCGACACGTAGGTAAGACCCCTGTTTTGGTGCTAGCAGACCTCCCTGAAGCCTCCTGGAAACAAAAATGGGGTGGGGGATGCATGCACATGCGACCCCTTCACCCCCCACACATGCATGCACGACCCCCCCACACATGTGTGCATGACTCCCACCCCCCACGCATGCACGCGCGTCTCCCGGCAGCTGAGAAAATCAGCTGGCTGGTGGGAGGCGCACTGCGGGAGCTGACCTGGGCGTCGGCTCGCGTGCCCCGCAGAGATGGCTCCACATGCCACTGCATGCCATAGGTTCACCATCACTATCTTAACAGTGCCTCCGTGGTGCAGTGGACTAAAGTGCTGTTAAGTGCTAGCACTTAGTTGCCAGCTGCCTGCAATTAGTGCGAGTTCGAATCTCACCAGGCTCAAGGTTGACTCAGCCTTCCATCCTTTCGAGGTAGGTAAATTGAGGACCCGATTGTGGGGGCAATAAGCCAATTTTGTATAGAACAATATCGCTTAGGGTAGGGCCCGAAAGCCCTACTAAGCAGGTATATACAAAAAAAAGTATGCAGGCTATTGCTATAATGCATTGTAAGCCGCCCTGAGTCTACGGAGAAGGGCGGCATATAAATCGGACTAATAAATAAATAATAAATAAACAGCATTTCTGACCGATGGCAGTCCAGTCTCTTCTTGAAAGCTTCCAGTGAAGAAGCTCCCACAATTTCTGAATAACAGAATAATAACAGAATAACAGAGAGTCGGAAGGGACCTTGGAGGTCATCTAGTCCAACCCCCCGCCCAAGCAAGGAGACCCTACACCATTTCTGACCGACGGCAGCCCAGTCTCTTTCTTGAAAGCCTCCAGTGATGAAGCTCCCACAACTTCCGAAGGCAACTTCTGTTCCATGGGGTTGATTATTTCTCACTGTCAGAAAACTTCTCCTTATTTCTAGGTTGAATCTCTCTCCTTGTTCAGTTTCCATCCATTCTTCCTTTTTCTGGCCTTCCCGTGCTTTGGAAAATAGCTCGACCCCCTTCCTCCTCTCTGTGACAGCCCCTGGTTGAGCCCTCCCCCAGTTGGGGGGAGGGGGAGGAATGGGGGGAGGAATGGGAATTTCTGGGAAGAATTTCCAGTTGTTTTTTTTTTTTTTTAAATTTGATTTATATGCCCCCTTCTCCGGAGACTCAGGCGGCTTACAATGTCTCAGCAATAGCCTTCATCCTTTGTATATTTATACAAAGTCAGCTTATTGACCCACAAACTGGGTCCTCATTTCACCTACCTTAGAAAGATGGAAGGCTGAGTCGACCTTGAGCCTTGGCGAGATTCGAACCTGCAGTAATTGCAGGCAGCTGGTCTTAATAACCAGCTTAATAACAGGGTGCCTTAGACCCTGTACTACCAAGGCACTGTACTACCAATACTCAGTTTTTGAGTATTTGGGTGGGTTATTTTTTTTTTTTCCCGGTGACAAAGTACTTTCAGAATTTGAGTTGTGATTCTCATGTCTTTCCTTTCTC